CCTAGATTGGTAATGTAAACAGAAGTTCACCACAGTTGTCTATTAAGAGTTATTTATTAATTGTTCCACAATAGTACTAAAGTTCATAACAAACTAAAGCACCAAAATAAGTCTGAACTCAAAGAATGACAAAATARAAACAAGTTTTCAACCAAAGATCTCCTTTACCCTTTTAGTCAAATTCTCCAAGACTACTAATAAGATTGGGGTAAATTTTACATTTCCTTCAAAACTCCTTTCTTTGAATCCATTTACGATATCCTTTACCTTCCTTAACACTCAACCCCTACCCAATATTCTTTCATTCTCTACAAACACAGGGAATAAATTTTCCCTTTTAGAGTGTAAGGCTTAAATCATTAAACATTTCCAGTTATTTAGCTATATTTTCCAAGAGTTACCTATTTCAACACATAACAGGGTTTGCAAGTCTTATCTTGTACAGTATACATCAACCTCAATAGTCAAACTCCAGCTATATTAAGTATAGTCTTTATGATATAAAGAATTCAGTTATTACTACTCCTAGGTAAAATGGTATGGGTTGGATGTGATGTTATTTTTGCCAATACTTATCTGGGAATCTACTTCTGCGCACAGGAACTTCAGTAGTTAATTATTATAGATTTAACACATTTCTTTGTTAATGGAAAATACTGAATTACCTTAAGTCTAGAATCCATATGGTAGTTATCAGATGAGAAAGTATGCAAAGAATTATAAATTCTATTCAGTTCATTATTTGATCAGCTCATCATAAAACTATGTGGCTGCAAGTAATCTAAATGTAGTCTACAAATGCTAATTAGCTGAATGCAGAAAGGGTTAAAAGTCACCTGAATATTTGATGATTTTCAGTTTAGGCACTGTATAATTAAAATACATTTCAGTATTTAGGCAGTCTTCTAAGAAAGAGATTCTTAACCTGAGGTCCACAGATAAGAAATTTTTTTCAGAGTCTCATTAAGCATGTAGATTGACTTGTTAATTTTCATGTGCAGATATATTCCTGATAATGTATGGACCTAGGGAGACAATTCTATTAGCTATCCCCAGAGTCTTGTAAGGACTAAAATGTCAAGAATTTCCTTGTATGGGCCAAAGATGCATTAAGAATTTAGACAGAATCTACTTAAATTAGTCACACTCAGTTATAGCCAGTATTGTTTTTAAAAAGCAAAACAAATACAAAGAAAGCAGAGACAATTTTAAGTGTATGTCCTCTTTATAATCATAATAATCTCTTTAAAAATTAAGTACAGTCTTACAGATCAGTTTTATTTTCTTTATAATTTTTTGATCATGGGCAAATCTACAGAATTCCAAGATGCTCTCTTCATGCTAATGTTCATTTTATATAATAAATTATTAAGGACATAAAAGTATAATAAGAACACAATTTCCCTCAAAAATCTTTTATCAGGAACTCTTTTATCATCTCATAGATGGTACAAATAAATTAGCAAACCACTAGCGATCTCTCTTCTTAAATACCAGGAGAGATCCCATAACAAAAACATATGTGGAACATTACTGACACAACCTCAAGAAACATGATGCATGGATCATATCACAGCACTAACAAAGGAATTTTGTATCACATTTTAAAACTGAAATCTATCATTATGTATCACAGAAAATAAGAAAATCACTACATTCAGAAAATGAATCTTCAGGTGTTTTACTCTAAAAACAGGAGTTGGAAGTTCAAACAGTAACTTTTTTTTAAAGAGGAACTTGTGTTTAACAATATATGCCTTCACAAGGCCATATCACTCAAATTGCCACCCAGCTCAGGTTTAAAGGATACTAAATGAAGGCAAATGATTACAAACTACCAGATACTAGAAAAAAAAAAAACAAACTTTTATCTCTCTTATATGATAACTGTTAACACAGAAAGCTAAGTACAGAAATATTTATATCTTTGCAATTAAAAACTTGAAGCACAGATTTCTTTTCCACATTTTTGTTCTCATTATTAAATTACCTCACAAATTACTAACCATCAATTGCCAAATTATGTTAGTCATTCTGAATTTATAGTAGCAAAATAGAAATCCAAAGCACTGTTTCCAACATGTTAAAAGGAAAAATCTTTAATTTTAAAATGATCAAATTCAGACACAGATATTCCACAAAAGAAAAAAAGGTAGTGGGGTGGGTTAAAAAAAAAATTAACTTGTTAGGACTAATCTTCAGGAGGGGAACAAATCATCTGTACAGGGAAATTAAGAATTTGATTTCAATGCAGAATCAATGAAATTAAAATTTTATTCAAAGCAGTGAAGACTGCTTAACAATGAGTTCAAGAAAACAATTAAATCTAGAAATAATACCAACAGAGAATTAATCTATATTATTTCCTAATCATATGGGTACATGCTTACGCTTAATATACATGATTAATCATTTCCCTAAAATACTATCATATATTTAAGAAGCAAAACATCCAAGACCTATTCTACTCTTCAATATTTTATTCCTAATACCTCAACATTTGTGGCCACAAAATATCAGAGCATAATTTCCTCATGACCTCAGATGTCTAAGCCAACTTCTCGTTCATCTTTAAAAGTTAACATATTTACCTTGGAACACCTATTTTTTTCTTTCACTGCTATGGATAGAAACCCAGAGCTTCATGCGTGCTAGACAAGTACTCTACTACTGAGCCAGAAGCACCTTTTCTGCATCTTCCCTAATACCTATACTTTCAATTTGTAAGTTAATTTTGACTTAACACTACTTTTTTTCTTACCCAAAATGCTGACGACCATTTATACATGTTATCCTGTCATTTTAAAATAACCTGAGGCAAAAAGGATGCACCTTGAACCAAAAGTATTGGATTTAAAATATTGATTTAAAAATAAAGCCTCTAACAGCAATCTCTCAAGAGTAATATTTAGGGTGGCTAATCAAATTCATTAAAACATGTTCTAATTCACATATTAAGCTTTTATTCTTCCATATTTTTGTGCACCTCCAACAAAATATTTAACCCATTTTCAAATAAAATAAACCTAGAAACATAAAATACTCTTTAAATACAATAAAAATGCAAGTTCCTAAATTGCAGGTTATACCATTAATGTGACTATTTTATGAAATGTAGTCCATAGAAAACTCTGAAAAATGTGTCTGATTAAAGTGATATCTCCTTTCTTCAATTTTGTGATTAACAGGACTTTTATTGGTAGTAAACTAGAGCAAACAATCAGAATAATACATATGCAGTATTCAGTACACACAATAAAAGTTAAAGAAATTCAAAACCTGTATAAAACAAACAAAAAAAAAAAAACTGGAGAAAAATCATACAGCTTAAGAGATACAGTGGTAAAGGTTCTCTCCATCCTTTAATTACAGCTTGTACTCTGTACCCAACAGAACTTACCGCACTTACTGAAATAAGAAATACAGACTTTTAGTACTGAATGTATTTAAGAGGATTAAACACATTTTCTAAAAATATTTCAATGACAAGTTGGTGACCCTGTAGCTGCTAAAAATTAGCTAAAGGGAGGAACATGGGGAAAGGAAATTAACTAGTATTTTGTAACCATTTTTAATAATTTCTTATTTTCCAAACACTGCTCTTATAACAGAAGTGTTTTACACTTGCACAATATTAATTACTTTATTATACATGGAAGCCTGTGGTAGGCTGATTACACAATAAGACTGCAAACAACCAGTGGTACTTTTCTGACGTCAGAAGAGTACATAAGACTGAAACATCACCAAAAGTACATAAAAAACTCATCAGCATAAACATCAAAGTACATTAAAAAATATAATCAGGAAAAAAATACAATTGCTAAAAAGTGGTTTAGAGCAGAGCCACTGCCTAACAGTAGCTTTAAATGGCAATTAGCGTTCATAGCAAGTTTTGATGACTTTACAAGACCCCCTGTACAATACTGACTAACACACCCTCCTTTAAAAATGTACATTAAAGGCTGCAATTTCACAAAGAGGTTCTGATGTCATTATTAAATACACACTCTTATCCCTCACGAGTTATGTCACCAGGTGGAATCACAAYCCTATTAAAATCTATAGTTCTGAGTCCATGCAGTTTTATTATACATAGATATCCATCTGGGGTTTGCTTTAAAAAAAAAAGTGAGGTTGAGGATGTTTAACCTACTGTTTAGTATTTGGATGCCATAAGGCATTTAAATGCATAATCAATTACTTATCATTCTAAAATGATAGGGAGAAGAGGGAACAAAGAAGGCCCAGAACTCTTAAGAGGATAGGTTAACAAAAACCAAAACACATAAGTGAAGGTGATATAATAATAACACAATAAAAGAATGTTTTTCAGGCCATGTATAATAAATAATGCATACCCCAAATTTCAATGAATTATGTGATTCCAACTTGGGTTCTAAAACTGGAACCCACCAACCACTTGGGCTTCAACATTGTACTAGATGTCAGTAGAATCACTTAATGGAACTACAGCCTTGTTATAGTTGGGATAACCAGAGGATGCTTTTTTTTTTTTTTTTTCTTTTCCTTTTATTAAAGCTATCATTCCAGGCTTTGATCAAAGATCCAAGAAAATTTGTTCTACCAGGCTGGAATGAAATGTGGTTTGGAAGTTCAGAGTACATTAAAAAGCTGCAACAAAATATAGGTAGCCAACAATCTCAGAATTTTGAATCAGCCCAGATGGAGATAGCAATTTGAAATGTTTTCGATCCCTTACTTAAATGATGAAATGTATATTATACCAGCCCAGAAAGAGCAATTTGAAATGTTTTCGATCCCTTACTTAAATGATGAAATGTATATCATACTATTTGTAAATTGGATATTCCATTACGGTGATAACGTACAGAATTCCCATGCGTTATTACACTTTCCTGAGAGTAAAGCAATTAGAATAACCTTAATCCTAGCAACAAAGTTTTTTTTTTTTGTTTTGTTTTTTTGTAGTTTTTGTTTTTTGATTTTTGTTTTTTTAGGTTTTTTTGTTTTGTTTTGTTTTTCTTTTTTGGGGATTTTTTTTTTTTTTTTGCATTTAAAAGTTTTGGGCTATTCCCTGACAATCTATACATGTAAATTTGATTGCTAAACATTGTCACTTTGAATGTCAAACTATTTTTAATCTATTGATTTTGATTAAAAATCATAATACAAACAGAGCTAAAAYCACACTAACAAAATAAACTAAATATGAAAAGTTGCATTGAAAGGGCATTACATTATTCTTAATAGGATCGTGTAGAAACATTCCAATGGCAGTGTTCTCAAAATAAAACAAAATTACATTAGAAGACCCCCAGCCTGGTCACTTCTGGGACCTTACCTGTAACTTTGGCTGGTGGGTGTCTTTACTCTTGTACTACATGGCTCACTTACATCAGACATCATATTTGTATACCCTGAGAAATCTGACACTGAAGTCCTTACTCTATGGTCCACTTCTCCATTAGAGTTAGTGATAAAGGTCATTGGCACCCTGCTGCCCGACTTAAACTGAGAACCAAATGCTTGTGCAAAGTTCTCAATCTGGTATGTTGTTCTAGGCTCTATGTCTTTCTGAGGATCTATCTGGCTAGCTAACTCCTGAGATGGAATCTGAAAACTTGTTGAGGACTCTAAGTTTTTCTGTTGTTCCTTCTGGCTAGTCAATTTCTGAGATGAAGACTGGAAGGCTGATGAAGTCTCTAAATTCTTCTGAGAATCTATCAGATCATCCAGCTCCTGGGAAGGTGTCAGCTGCTGATGTGTAGCATCCAAAGCAGATAAATAAAGACCTGGTTGAGATCCAAACAACATCCCAAAAGGAGGCTTTGGCAATGAAGATGGCAACACTGAGGTAACAGATTGGCCGAAACCACACTCCAAAGGAGATGTAGTGTATATTTGTTTTTCTGGAAATAAAGTGTGGTTGTGGAGAGGTGAAGACAAACCGACAAATTGGAAACCATGTCCAAGAGTAAAACCTGCGTTAGTAGATTTTTCAAAAGCCTGTTGGAGGTATTTGGAGTATTCTTGCAACACTTGTGTTTTATCAATTGAAGGTGGTTGGGTGCCTGGGCTCAAATTTTCTTCTTGAACCAATTCTGAGTGTTCTCCTGAGGTGTGTAAATCCACTCGTGGTTCTGTTATATTGAAAGGATCCTCTTTCTGGCTTTCTGATTTGTTGGAGTATTGATCCAAAAGACTTTGTAAAACCTCATCAGGAATTCCAGACTTGTCATGACAAGACTTAATTTCAGCATTTAGTGCTGAAGAGTCAATAAGTGACAATGGCGCCTCACTGTCCAAAACACTGACACCTGCAGACTGAATGACGGACTGTTGGGAGACCATGTGTCCTACATTTATAGAAAAGGCACTGTTGCTGCTGGCAGTTGGTAAATATCTTCTTTTCTTTGAAAACTGCATGGCATCATCATAATTACTACTTATTTGACCTTGTTTACCACTTGTACTTTGGAGAAGACTAATGGTCTCCACACTATTATTTGATACTATACCAAGTGAGCCACTTGGTTTCCCAGACAAGGATTTCTGTCCAACTATGTCTGGTAACGGTGACACAAAATTAAGGTAGCTTTTATCTGTATTCTTTCTGCTTCCTTTCTTAAAGATCAATTTTGGCACCCTTTTCTGTAGTTCATCTATACCAGTGCCAATTATGCCTCCACTGGAAGACACAGTAGGCATTTCTACTGAATAACTCTGCATGTTTATATTATTTGAAATTTGTGATTCATTTGTTTTACCAGTTTTATGTTCCTTATTTTCAATAGCTATGCTTTTTGATTTTGATTTTCTCCTTGAAGAACTTGTATTTCCCTGAGACAACACAGCCAGATTACCCATATTGTTATGGTTCGATGACCCAGGTTCTGCACTAGCGGCTCCTTTCGCTATGGCTTCACCACATGTGCGCCTGTGCTTCAACAATCTATCAGTCCTTGAAAAATACTGTTGGCAAGTGTCACACTTATATGGCTTTTCTCCACTATGTGTCCTCTTGTGTCTCTCCATATGGTACTTCTGAATAAACTTCATGCTGCATTGATCACATCCAAAGGGCTTCTCTCTACTATGAATTTTCTCATGTCTCTGCAGTAGATATTTCTGAATGAAACCCATACTACACTGGCTGCACTGAAAAGGTCTTTCTCCTGTATGAATGAGGACATGTCTCCGCAGGTGATAGGAGCTTCGGAAAGCAGCACTACAGTGATCACAGATATGAGGTTTCTGACTTGGGGAGAGGATGGCACCTTCTCCATCACCAACCAAAGAAGGTTTGGAAGATGCACTTGGCTTCCTCTTGGCTTTGATTCCCTGAGATTCTGGCTTTGGCCTCTTTGCCTTTTTGACATTAGTGTCCTGCTTTGGCTCCTCGTTGCCATGGTCATCAGTCCTGCTACTGCTGCTCAGTAATACATCACGGTGGTGCTGGGCTGGTTGCTGCTGGACATGCTGGTGGAGAATACTGAGGTCCTGGATGACGCCGTGGCTCCCCCCTTCCCCTCCTCCTAGGCCTGGAGATCTCTCTTCAGCTCCAGCGAACAGCCCCCCATAGTGGTGGTGGTGATGGTGGTGGTGGGACTGCTGTTCCTCAGGATCCGCGGGTTTCTCCTGCTTGATGCTAACCAAAGACTGCAAGAATCCCCAGGAGGTCCTCTGCGAAGGGAAGGCCGCGGCTGACGCCGCCGGCTCCTTCTTGAAAGTCATGTCCGGGGCTGGCGGAGGGGGGGGCTCAGCGGCCGGGGCTGCGGAGGTAGAGGAGGATAACACGCACTGCGGGGGAGGGGCGGCCGACCCCGCCGGCCGTGTGAAGCTGGTGACCGGGGGAAGCCGGTGGTTGAACATAACCATACCCTGGGGAAAGGTGGGCTCCATCTCTGCTCTCCTGCTGTTGCTGCTGCTGCTGCCGCCGCCGCCGCCGCCGCCGCCGCCGCCGCTGCTGCCGCCGGAGCCGCTACCACCGCTACTGCCCGTACCACCGCCGCCACTCAGGAACCCGCTGCCGATTTTCATACCCCGGAGGTGGCCTGGCTGAGGAGAGGAGGGGGAAGAGGGAAGAGGGAGGAAAGGAGGTGGAACCGGGCCCCGGGCCGGGACCACCGCAGCGCTCAGGACCCCGCCGCGCCGCCGCCCAGACCGCAACGCGCCCAGCACTAATTCCCAGCCCCGTCGCCTCCGGCACCGGCACGCAAGGCCCTGTGACTCTTCCCCGAGTCTCGACCACTTCCTCCCGGACCCACCGGCAACACTTACGGGTCCCGCCGCCGCCGCAGCCGCCGTCGCCTCCAGTTAATAAAAATAACGCCGTCCTCTCCACAATGGAATTAAAAGCCTCCCCTGTACTGCGCAGCCGCGGCGCGGTGTCTGCTGGGAACCCCTCGACCCGACCAGAGGGGAGCTCTACGGACTCACGGCGCCTGCGCCGCAGTTTCCGCCCGGCCTGCCTGTCAATCACTGGGGCGGTTGGGCGGAGTTGAGGGACACCAGGGTAGGAGGGGCGGGGATTTGGAACCCTACTGAAAGGGGCTTCCGAGGAGAATAGACATGATTGGTGGACTACACTGAAGGAGATGAAAGTTGTTGAGGGCTTCTAGGGGAAAGACKCTCAGGAGGTGGAACCCAAGGGGCGGGAAGTTGGGGCGGGGGAGGGGGCATCCTTACTGCAGCGTGGCGTGGGAGCTGCAGAGAAAGGGGTTGGAGGAGAAGGTGAGGAAAACTGAGGACTGAACTTTGGGGATTTCTTCACTTTAGCGTTTGCAATCCAGGTATTGAACCAAAATACAAACCCGAAAGTGGATCACTTAAGGCACCTTTAATTCTATCTAAAAGCATTAAACTTCAATGCTCATTTATTGTTGATATCTCTATTATCCCTTTTAGTTTGGAAACACTAATAATCATCATCCTTTGCATTTATAGGAGGAATCTACTTTGAAACCGCAATAGAGGTACCGTTGCAAAAAAAAAAAAAAAAAAGAAAAAAAATTTTTTTTTGTCTTACTGCCAACCTACCTGAAGGCTACTGGAAAGGGAAACCGTGTGTAATCCAGGTGCAGCGGTCCTGTAAAACACACCCACACACTTACTTTATCAGCATCACATGTTATTTAAATRTTCACATACCTTTTCATTCTACCTAATGAATCTGTTTGCCACGTTGTATTGCTGTCTGACCTTTATATTATTTGTGAAACATTGTCCAGCAGGCCCTTCTAAGTTCTCTGCTTGGATCCATTCTTTCCTCTTTAATATAGAATTCCTACAAATTAATGCAAAATCACAACATTTTCTGTTAAGGAAAAAGTATAAAGTAAAATGTTGAAATCAAAGTTATATCAACAAAAAAAAAATAAGCATTTAATCAGTCCCTAGAAAAGACACTTTCATAATAAGCAAGCAGAAATCTAAACCAGCAACTTCCCTGAGGATATTTATAGACCACAGAAAATTTTAATAAAAGAACTAGAGTTATGACAATAGTTTATTTACATAGTATATTTTCTTGATGAAATTATAAGTCCATTTTCTTATAATATTTCCTTAGCTAAATAACTTATCATAATTAGGGTTTSCAAATAGCTTCTCTTAAGAAATTTCACAATTGAAACCATAAATATCATTTACTAATACTTATGGGACTCTCTGAGTCTTCCTGAAAAACTTAAAAGACAATATTTGATGAACATTTTGAGATAAGAAATAATTGTACTTCGCTAACTCCACGCAATGACATATAAGCATTCCACCATTTAAACTGAAACTTTAATATTGTCAAGTATAGCTAAGTGTTAAAGGCTGAAAATTCAAGAACTCCAGGCAGTAGTAAAATATTAGTCAATGCCTGTGAGAAATGAGGCTGTCCCTTTATTCAGGGTGTCAGTGTTTAATAGTAAGCTCGGATGCATATAAGCTAGTCCAAGCATGAAGGGCAGTAGGACACTCATATGAAAAGCCAACTTTGTTCCTCAGTTATCAAGATAAGAAACCTGTCATTTCTCTCATTCACTCTGTCAGCCTTGAGATACTCCAAGCAGACTTACCTCTGTGTTGTACACCCCATATATCAGGAAGATGAAGAGTCCCTGTAAAATAAAATGGAGGGGAAAAGCTGTTAACGCTAATCATTTCAGCAGTAGAAATACCTGAAATAAACTTTCCTGGGAAGAGACAAAAGAAGACACACTTCATCAAGGTCAATTTATTTTCCTATTTTTCAACATTAGAAGCTGTACCTTGAGCATTTATATGATAACATACCAGCACATCACTTACAATGGTTGTGCTATTCAATTTTTTAGAAGTAGAAAATGCCATCTCAAGTACATGGAATAGTAATTAGGAAAATCAAAATATCAGGCTCTGAAAGATAGCTGGGTGATGAGAAAATTAAACTCAGAAAAAATGCCATCAAAGTAATTAATAWTAATAACACTAAGCATTAGTATTACTAAGTGTTGTTTTAGACTGCAGCAAGTGGAATATATTTGTTACAATCTTTGGTAGGGTAAAAATACAAAAATTATTATGAAACTCTCCGGGGCTGGAGGCACAGCTCAGTGGTAGAGCACTTGACCTGTCATATAATAGGCCCTGGGCTTTATCCCCAGCACTGCGGGGGTGCGCGCGCGCGCGCGCGCGCTCGCACACACACACACACACACACAACCAAACCTAAAACACTAACAAGATAAACTTAAGGTAAAAAGTATGAGTAATTTTTAAAATGATATTTAAAATACCAGTTCGAGTTAAGATAAAAAATTGACATAAGATTTCATATCATTAGCTTTTGTGAAGTACATAGATTTTTTTTGTATTCTATATGTAGTAAAGTTTCCCAAGAATTGCTACTTATTAGTTTTCAGCTTTAGAGAATGCTTAATTAATTGTATGTACAATTAATCCTCACTTTTAAACCTAAAAATCTTAATGTCTATAAGTAAATAAATGATGTGCTTAAACTTATTAGAGATGATATGGAACAGGAAATTTTGCCATGTTTTTGTCTGAGGAGGAAATAAAAATGTATGTTGGTATGATTTTGTTAGGTACTAATAAACCAAACATAAAATAGGAGTCTGGTCTAAATCTGGAAATGATCCAAATACTTAAATAGCATATTTTCAAAAGAAAAAAAATTTTTTGAGAAWAAGGAAAAAGAAGATTTATTGCTTTGCTAGAAAAGGAGAAATCCAGGGAACTCCTGTCCCAGAGTCTGTGGTTCTGCCCATCAGCAGGAACAGGGGGCTTTGAAAGGAAAGTATTATAAGAATATTTTAATATTTATTTTACCCCAGAATACTTACATCTTACAGATAAACAGTTTTAGAACAAGGTGGTCATGTAAATCAGAAACATTTTTGTTCTTGTTATTTCTTTTTTAATGGGCTTCATTTTTTTAAACAAGTTTTGACTTACAGAAAAATTAAGATAGAAGTGAGAGAGAGTTCACTTATGCCCCACCCAGTCTCCTCTATTGTTAACATTTTACATTAATATGATACATTGGTTCAGTGAAACTTGCCAATTTTAATCATTATCTTTATAATTTCAGAAACCAACATTATTATAGTATATGCATTTGTATTAATAAGAAAGATCAATGAAAAGTTTTGCATAATCAAAAACATCTCATTTTGGCCATCAACTTAAAAAAATTAAAGTACAGTTTTTTCCACTGTGTATACATATTGTCCCAAAGCTCAATGCCAACATTCAATTCCATCCTCTTTCTAGTAGATTTTGTCAAGATGTCTAGAATTGCAGACTGAATTCAAGCTGCTTAGATGGCACCTATTTTGCAAGCTACTTGTTTGCTCCATTCTAGATGATTCTAGAGACTTCAAGGAAAATTTTTTTCTCCAATTTAGGTGAAAATTATCACATAATTAATAGTCCCTCTTTCTTCAAAAATTTTTAATTCTTTATTTCGTATTTTGCTTTATAGATAAAAAATTGAAAGGTCGCTCAAACTTTAATTCTATTTATAAGATAGAAATATCTTGCTTTGTGCAATAGATGACTTTCTAAGTAAGTAAAATTTCCTGAAAACTGAACAACATGTATTATGAATTCTATATAAGAAGCTCCGTGGTGCACACCTGTAATCCAGCAAGTCGGGAGGCTGAGGCAAAAGGATGACGAATTCAAAKCCAGCCTCAGCAAAAGCCAGGAGCTAAGCAACTCAGTGAGACCCTGTCTCTAAATAAAATGCAAAATAGAGCTGGGGGTGTGGCTCAGTGCCCCAGAGTTCAAGCCTGGTACCAATAAATAAATAAATAAGTGTAAAGAAGCCCTGCTGTTTACATGTTATGATGTCTTAAAATTGAAAAGGCCCTTTTATAATAGGTGTAATCACTTCTATAATTTATGTATTTTTGTTAAGACAAGTTATCTCTAAAATAAAGGAGAGTAAACAAAATGACATTTTTCCCTCACGTCTTAGTCAGTTGAGGAGAACATGGAGTGTGTCTCAATATTTTTATTCACTGCACTTTCGTGTCACCTATATACTTTATACTGTAATATGCTTAACTCTCTCTAACACAAAATGATCAACAATGGAAATTTCTCTTTTGGAAACAGGATTTAAACTGAAAAAGGATTTTAGGAACAGGCAGTTTCTTTTTTTTTTTTTTTTAATATTTATTTATTTATTAGTTATTGGCAGACACAACATCTTTTTTTGTATGTGGTGCTGAGGATCGAACCCAGGCCGCACGCATGCCAGGCGAGCGCGCTACCGCTTGAGCCACATCCCCAACCCCGGAACAGGCAGTTTCAATCTTGAAAGTTTTTTCTCTTTTTCCTCAACATATGTACACCCAGCAGCATGATAAGCCAGCCCTAAGAGAAAGGCTGTGAAACATCATGCAAAAGTCTGCAACTGGGAATCACTCCAAGGACTCTGCACCTCTCTCTGGAGGTGTCCATTTGATGCTGCCACAASTAGTCAGAAGGCAAAACAATACAAATACTAATTAATTAACTTMATTGTACACCCGACACATGGTGTTTCCCCCACCACTGTTACTAGCTAATGACAGTTATGATAATTTATTTAGGTCTAACTCTGCAGAACTTCATAAACCCTTCAATACTAGAAAAACATCCTATTTTTCTCTAAGGGAAGATTAAAAAATAGAAACAGCTACACATCAACATCTTAAGCCATAATGATGAGCCACTTTTAAATCCCTGCAGAGAGAATACCTTTAAGAACAGCTGGAAGGAACCAACTGCCAATCTTCAACTGGCACTGAGATTTCTGGAACTCCTTATACCAATGCTCTATCCTACTAAAGAGTGGATACCAGAAGCATACCACATTTTTAAAATGAATG